CAGCACTATTTACAATAGCAAAAAGATGGAGACAGCCTAAGTGCCCATCAATGGAAAAATGGATAAACAAACTGGTACATACACACAATGGTATATTATGCTACCTTGAAGAATAACAAGGAAGCTGTAAGTTATCACATAACATGGGTGAACCTTGAGGATACTATGCTGAATGAAATTAGTTATTCACAAAAGGAGATATACCGCATAGGTGCATTATTGTAAAAGATTAAGAAAAAGAAGTCACTAATAGGGGGAAAAAATTCTTTGCTAGTTATTGGGATGTATGGAGTGGGCTGACGGGACGGTGGAGCACAGGGTAGGGAATAGACACAGGATAGCTTGGGTGCTGGGGGTGGGGGTTGGAGCAATACACAAGAAGGGGGAGGGGAATGGAAGAACAAGGCAGATGAGAGTACAGTTAGGCAGGTTTGCATGGACTAAGTGGGAAAAAGGTAAATAATGATGTATGCATAATCTTAGAACAACAGAGTGGCTCTGGGATATAAAGATTGAGGCGTGGTTTGAATGGGTAAAAGAGGGGAAATAATGTTAAGATGGTTGGCTGTCTTGTGACTCTTGGTTTCCCTTGCCTACCATTGTAAAATAGACACTTGAGGAGGAGAGAAAGGAATAGCCATAAATATCACCATAGAAAGCTTGTAAGTCCGTCTTCATCTTATAACTGATTGGAATACCTAAAATAGGGTTAGAACTTGCCCAGTGAATGAGGTTTCCTGTGGAGCCTTTGCATTGCATAAAATCATAAGTGGAATCCTGAACCCCATCCAGAATCTTCTGAGGTGGGAATGTTCCACTCGAAAGGACAAGCAGACCAGCCTGGAGCGGCTAGAGAACAGAAGTTTCTTGAAAGAAAGATGGGCAGGAAAATAAAAAACAATAATGGCAGTCTGATTGACTACTACAAGAACAAGCAAGTTGTTCACCCGTGAGCCATCAAGGCAAGTGGTTGGGTCTCCTCAGAGCAAATCCCCATTCCAAGACTAAGACTCAAGGGGAATACATGAGCAGCCACGTGGTCTGGCTGGTGACCACGTGGGTCACCGATAAGGGGAAGTGGGGGAAAAACAGCAATGAAGTTCAATAGACTCCTGTGAACCCGGATTGAGACCTGGTTGATCAGCAGTGTGGCAAGACCTAGGGACTCCTGGACCCAGAGACAGTGACACAGCCACAGAGGAC